TGTGTGTGTGTGTGTGTGTGTGTGTGTGTGTGTGTGTGTGTGTGTGTTTGGTGGGGGATAGGGGTGAGGCGGCAAACTGGTTTTAGAACTTTTTAGGTTATTTAGATTAACCTAAATAAAGAAGAATATTAAGAAAACAATATAACCAGTTTAAATGTCTTATAGATTTTAGCGGATAGGGATTTTCCTCAGATTAATGTGGCGTTCTCGGTTAGTTGTGTGAGGGGGAGTGAAAAACAAAACGCCACTGCAAACTTTGAGCAATGAACGTCTTCGATAGGACCTTAAATCTGTGAGACTGAAGCCCATGATTCCAATAAGAGCTATTTCAATGTGTTTAATTTCATTTTATCATTTATAAGAAACTCGATACCAAGGTCAGAAAGCATCTAAGAGAGATGCCCAGATCCTTCTGAAAAGATTGATTTAGGGCATGAAGCACTGGAAAATTCGGAGAAAGTATTGTAAAATCTAATGTGATACTGGCAAAATCCAGTTATTTTGAAGTTTGTCTCCGAATTCAGTTGGTTAATTGGTAGATTTGAGTTTTTTTGTTTTTGTTTTTTTTTTTTTTACTGCTCCGTGTCAGCTCCCATCAGAGGTCCCACAAATTTTGTCAGGGGCAAGTCTTGCTGAAGTGGGTAACCCTCCTATGCACTCACCCCAGACACTCAGCGAACCCATTCCCAGTAGGTACACAGGAGAATATTCATGACTACCTGCGCCCAGTGTTGTCCCCTAGGAAAATTGTTTTTAACACACACTTCTTCAACCCACCACCAATTCCACATAAGTTGAAGAAAATGGGAATCATTTAGTGTGCCCTGGAAATTCAGAGAGAGAGAGAGAGATGACTGGAGGGTTGTTTGGCATTAAGTACCGCCTCCCCCAACCCCAACGCCCCCCTCCCCCCGCCCCATTCCAATCAAGCTTGAATTTACTTTCAGTTTGGGAAGATGGGACTGTTTTTACATTTTGGTTAGAGGAAAATAGAGCAAAGACTTGTATTCCGCCTAAGCTTTTATAAGTTCGGGAAGGACAAGTCTATGTGCTCCACAGCCCAGTGCAAATGCGTTGCTTGTAAGCAGAGTGGGTGAAATGCAAATATTTTAGATTTGCTCTAGCTGGGAAAAGGCAACATCGGATACCTAGCATGATCTCTGAAGTTTAAAAATGACCTTTCATTGCATAATTTTGAACGTAACCTAGTTGCATAATTATATTTGCACTTACAGAAGACGGCATCAGAGTTCCCTTATTGGTTTAAAATTCCATTAAATATATTGCAAGAGCTCCTAGGTTAAGCTTGATTTAAATTTGCATACATTTTCATATATTTAGCAGAAATAAAAGAGGGCTTGCAGCTACCAGAAAGTCATTAAGGCATTAGTTTCTCTAAGAAGACAGATCTGAAGAAAATGCAAGAAAATGAGAAAAAAATAAAAACAAGGTGAGCTTATTCTGACATTCCTTTATATAGCTAAAGAGCGTATATTTCCTGTGAAATGAGTAATTTCTTATGAGAGCACAGAGCAGCAAGAGCTTATGTTGTTAAATGTAAACTGTGTCTATTATGCAGGAAAGTCTGGCATCTGGTTGAGATCTATTTCTTTCTCTCTTAAAAAAAGGATAAACACTTAGTAATTATTGGTAGAGAGAATCATTTGCCATATTCTGCCCTCCCCCTTCTCCCTCATTGAAACTGCTTTCATTTGCTGGTGTCCTATTGTAAAGGTTTATCTGCTTTTAACCTAGAAATTGATTTTTTCCTCTCTCCCTTCCCTTTCCTCCCCTCCCCTTCCCTTCCCTTCCCTCCGTTCCCCTCCTCTCCTTTCTCCTCCTTTCCTCTCCTCTCCTGTCCTCTCCTCTCCTCTTCTCCTTCTGCCCAGGAACGTCCTTTCTTTACTGCCAACTGTGTGTATCTTCCGTTGCAAGAATGCAATCTCATTTGTGCCCGAACTTTTGCTTCATGAAGAAAACAATAACTTGTTAAAATTAAACAAAAATAAAAGTTTTCCGGCGCTCTGTTAGACTGCCTGTTCAAGGATCCATTTGCCAGTCTGGGTTGGGTCAGTTTAGAGGTCAGAGGGAAACACATTGAAGAAACTATACGAGCAGAAAGATCATGATCATTGCCATGTTGTTGTTGTCGGTGGGTTCCCCACCCCCACCATTGCAGCTGCGTTTGGTTGAAAGAGTTGTTAATCTTAGCCTGGCCATTCAGGGAGTTAAGGCAATTATCAATTGATAAGACTTTTGCATGAAGAAGAAGTGGGTCCTCTTCCAATTCTGACTTGCCTGAGTTCTTAAAAAAAAAAACCTTCCTCTTGCCTGTGGCTTCGGCTCTGGCTCTGAGCGAAGAGGTAAGGCCAGCCGCGGCAAAGTGGTTCAGACATTTTGCCCCGAGGCTGGTTGTGGGGGTCGGTGGTGTTGAGGACCGGGCATCTGCACCCAGCGACAGGCTTTTCCACACCGTTGCTTTTCAGTCTTTTAATATAAGAATAGCTTCTGTCAGGAACAAAAACCGATGTTAGTTGTCTTTTTCCTTTCCATTATTTCCTTTCCTTTTTCTTTCTTCCTTCCTCCTTTCCTTCTCTTTCTTTCTTTTCTTTCTTTCTTTCTTTCTTTCTTTCTTTCTTTCTTTCTTTCTTTCTTTCTTTCTTTCTTTCTGTTTCCTTCCTTCCTTCCTTTCTTTCTTTAGTTTTCATAATTAGTTCCCATGAATATAGATACTGCCTATTGAATTCAGGTGGAATCATGTCCTTTAGCAGCTGAGATAGAATCTCTTGCACGTTAGGTGCTTTGTTTTTGAAGAAAATATCTGCATACAGTCAAATCTTCTTGCTGTTCTAACTAATCTGCTGGAGAGGTTTCCTTCGCCTTCTCCTGTCAGTCTAACTTCCCAAGTGTAACAGATGCCGCTCTCAAGCACTCCTTTCTGCGGCTTCTCTTTATTCAGCCTTGCATATTTCTCCCCATGATCTGGGTTTCCATAGAGAGAGGAATAAAAGAGGGGACCATGGTCACAAATCCCCTGCCCCATGCAAAATAAAAGAGCCTCATTCAATATACGACCCTGTCTGGACATGGGAGAAAAATAAGTCCATGAGAAGCTACTGTTGCAAAGAGCTTGTAACTAATTTTTCATAGACTGCATTTTGCCTTAAACTCAAAAGTTACCACTGGTAAACCTGCTATCTTGGGTAGCTGGGCTAAATACACAGCTTGGTGTTCTCCTCACTGAGATCTTGAAGTCCACTACCAGATCCTCAGATCTGATTTACCCCACCCCCTTCAGAGCTATGGTTTGAATATAATAATAGCTGTCAAACCCTGCCAGGCTGGGGCAGCTAAAAGTTGCCCTGGAGGGGATCCAGACTTAGAATTGGAGAAACTAATTTTAGCAAGTCTGCACACCTATCTCCAGCAAGGCAACACAGGTTTCGATTACCATGCCTGGCCAGCACACAGTACCAACTTCATTCCTCCTAGGGTTGCCTTCACACCCCAACTCGCTACCCCTCCCTACTCATCACTTTGCTTGATTTCTAAGAGGACTATTCAGTTAATTTCCAAAAGCAAGTCAGATCAGCTTGATTTACTTGTACTCATTTATTTGTAACCTGGGGGTTCACAGTGGCTTTCCTCCCTCACAATATTTAAGGATATAAAACAACTCCTGAGAGTCTTTGCAGACCTTATGCCCCCCTCCCTTCCCTTTCGAAGCAAGAAAGGACTCACAAAAGAAATTAAGCAGGTTAATGTAGTTCATGTCGCCCGTTCCTGTGGAAGCCTCCGAGCGTGGTCGAAGTTGGGCAGTCTGTGCCCAGGCTGGTTCAGAAAGTGCCCCGGCCATGGGGCTTATGCTGCTTGTAGATTTCATATTTGAGTGTAGATTATGAAGTGTTCTCGCCATACAAATTGGAAGAGGGGGAGACTGTCTGTGGCTGAGGATGGATGGGGTTGAGGAGGGGATTAAGGAAAGAAGTCCAAACGGCCAGATTTGAATGTGTATAATGCAGCATGAAGCTCCAGAAGGTAGGACATGGCACATAGGCATGACCTCAAATTGGAAACTTCACCTTCAACACAAGTTCACTTTGGAAGCAGGATGAGTTACGTTGGGCTTGGTGAGGACAAGTACACATTTTCTTTTTATAACCAGGGAGCTCATGAAGGAAGGGAAACAATTGAACAGCCTCTGAAAGGAAATAAGAAACCTTTTCCCTGATGTATGTACACTGAGCTCATGAGACATTCTCAGTGTGAGACACAGCTGCCCTACAAAGAGCCAGTCTACTGTACCTGCTCTTATAGTTGTTGTTGTTCTTCTTCTTGGCAAACTGCATGGGGGAAGGTTAAGGGCTCAATATTCTGAGGGAGAATTAAAAAAAAATTAGATGGCATTAGCAGACATTAGCCAATACTGATTCAAGCTCAATTAGTTTATTTTAAAAAGATCTCTGTTGGCTTTCCTTGAACGTGAAGAAAAGGATATTCAGAGAAAAGGGGAGAGGGAGGAGTGACAGCATATAGCAAATGCCGCAGCATAAACAGGGTTATTTATAAAATAAAATATTCATCATGAAAAATTTAATACAAATACCACAATCTTCAA